CATGTTGAAGGTGACGTGTGTAGATCAATCTAAAGTAGTAAAAGAACAAATCTGTTGTTTTTTAAACTGCTTTTTTTTGTTCAGATTAGATCAATTGAACATTGTTAATGTTATAAAATACGTAAACTGCCTTTTTTTGTTCAGATTAGATCAATTGAACATTGTTAATGTTATGAAATACGTAAACTGCCTTTTTTGTCAGATTAGATCAATTGAACATTGTTAATGTTACGAAATACGTAAACTGCCTTTTTTGTTCAGATTAGATCAATTGAACATTGTTAATGTTATGAAATACGTAAACTGCCTTTTTTGTTCAGATTAGATCAATTGAACATTGTTAATGTTATGAAATACGTAAAAATAAAAGAATCGTTTAGGATTGAAATTGAACAATGCAGTTGTTTATTGCCCGCAGCATCAGTTTATTTGGACTTGTTGAACTACCTCGCTCATCATTATAAGATAGAACAGTGATAACTTAGACTAGTAGAACTAATGTGAAAAGCACAAAATTGAAGTTTCTCGCTTTTTTATTTATTTATTCGATCAAACGATTAATAATTTATTACAGCATTTTCTTTCTTTAAGTCCTTAATTCACAGAGATGCTGTACTTATGTAACTTTTACTTTGGTGATCTTTATGAAACGAAGTCTGGATTTCTAAGATATATAATACAGTTGCATTTATTTTAAGCAATTAATTTTAACTTACCTACACTTAGGAAAAAACTATTACTTTCAAATAAATAAGCCTAAGTAGAATGGATGTTTAAATTATTAAAATGTTGATCGCTAGATTATTGTAATCGTTTTCAAAGACACATCGAGAGAGAAAAAGAGTAGATTAAAGTCAAATTTCCATAGGAACTTCTGTGAAGAAACAACTTACATTAAACTCGAGATTCCTTCAAATCTCTGGGGAAAACAAACTAGATTAAACTAGAGTTTCCTTATAACCGTCTCGGGAAAAACAAACTAGATTAAACTCAAGTTTCATTAAAAAACTCTTGGGAGAAACTAACTAAATTCAACTCAAGTTTCCATACCAATCTCTGGTGAGATTAGAATAAAATTTACATGGAAATCTCTGGAGAGAAACAAACTAGATTAAACTCAAGTTTCATTAAAAAGCTCTTGGGAGAAACTAACTAAATTCAACTCAAGTTTCCATACCAATCTCTGGTGAGATTAGAATAAAATTTACATGGAAATCTCTGGAGAGAAACAAACTAGATTAAGTTAAGTTAACGAGCTGAATGCTTAAATATGTTTCTTAGTTTTAGTAATCTCCTTGAAGGAAAAACAAACAAACTTCTAAACTAAGTTCATTTAGGAAATAAAATTCATTTAGGAACTTAAGTTACACTTTTCGGAATTAAAAGTATTTGATTTTAACTGATTTTGTTTAGTTTTAGTTAATGGTGATCATTTCATCTACACCATACAGTTACTCGTGGTGGGCAGAGCACAGATAGCCCTTGTGTAGCTTTGTGCATAATTAAAAACAAACAAACAAACACCACACAGACAGTTGCTATGAGTTTAATGTTTCAGGTCACGAACTATAATTAGACAAATTTTATTTTTGTAGTATATTAGTAACAAAGTATTATCTTTGAATTTTCACTCAAGTCGTTCAGATTCATTTACTTCACTGGTTTGAGTTCAGCGTGATTTTGTATAAGGCGTCAATCGCGTTAAGTTGATGATGAAATCATGCTGATTTTTTAACAAATTATAACTGTTTCACGCTCAAGCGTTAATATCGTAAAAAGTGCATCTACAACAACGTATTAGTCATTCATCTATTAAATACTGTAAAATATTCTTAAAAGTAGACTTTTCCTTTCTTTTCATTGTTTTTGCAATAAATCTGGTTATCTGTGTTGCGCCCACCACGAGTATCGAAACCCGATTTTGAGCGTTATACGCTGAGCCAACGGAGGCTAGCAATGGATTTTTGTTGTATAAATTATAAACGACTTAGGAGTTAGCCGGATTCCTAGAATTAACAAAACCATGTTTGTATAAGTTATGACTCTTTTTGCAAAAAAAATATATATATTCTCCTCTTTTAATTTAAAAATAATTTTATAACAGTTTTATTTGTAAGAACTTAGAGAATCTAATAACATAACAAATCCTTCTGATAATGCTATTAGTATAACATGATATTTTACAAGCCAAATATACTTGTATTATTTCTAGAATAAACATTTTGATAAAATCCATATTTTAGAACGTTGATTGTTAAACGTTGATTGCACATCATTATTTACTGAGTACTTAATACTTTATGGACATTGTTCTAATAGAGCGATTAACAATCAAGTTATATTATGTAGTTGCACATCAATTTTTACTGAGTACTTAATACTTTATGGACATTGTTCTAATAGAGCGATTAACAATCAAGTTATATTGTGTAGTTGCACATCAATTTTTACTGAGTACTTAATACTTTATGGACATTGTTCTAATAGAGCGATTAACAATCAAGTTATATTATGTAGTTGCACATCAATATTTATTGAGTACTTAATACTTTAGGGACATCGTTCTAATAGAGCGTTTAACAATCAAGTTATATTGTGTAGTTGCACATCAATTTTTATTGAGTACTTAATACTTTATGCACATTGTTCTAATAGAGCGTTTAACAATCAAGTTATATTATGTAGTTGCACATCAATTTTTACTGAGTACTTAATACTTTATGGACATTGTTCTAATAGAGCGATTAACAATCAAGTTATATTATGTAGTTGCACATCAATTTTTATTGAGTACTTAATACTTTATGGACGTTGTTCTAATAGAGCGTTTAACAATCAAGTTATATTATGTAGTTGCACATCAATTTTTACTGAGTACTTAATACTTTATGGACATTGTTCTAATAGAGCGATTAACAATCAAGTTATATTATGTAGTTGCACATCAATTTTTACTGAGCACTTAATACTTTATGGACATTGTTCTAATAGAGCGTTTAACAATCAAGTTATATTGTGTAGTTGCACATCAATTTTTAGTTACTACAGAATATCTACAGTTCATCTCTCCTTAAGCTAATACATAAAATCTGCACTACAAATTTTTATTAGAAACTTTAGAATTTATCTATTGCTTATCAGGTCTACAGAGACTATCTCAATAGTTATAAACTATGTATAAACTTTACAGAATACCCATCTGTAAATTATTCTGTAGACGTTTGCCAGAATATTCATGACAAGACTTTTTTAATGACGCTTTATATAATACTTGTAATATAATAGGTTTATGTTAAGCAATAACACGTGTGGTTTTACATCGAAATAACGTTGATAAAAACTTTAACTATACATAACTAACCTAATACAGCTTTCCCGCAAGGAGAATATCAAATAGCATTTCAATTGTATACCTTGTTTCGTGTATGCCGCTGTCAACTATGCGATTCAATTCGTTAAATACGACGGAGCTCATTAGGCTGGCTAAGTTATAACATTTATAATTAAGACTGTGTATATTGTAGACTAGTCAGCTCTGGTATTGCGCAGAAAGACTCATCAGCAGTGGTGTACAACAAACAAGGTATATACAGTTAAAATTCTATGGGATCCATTTTTCTCGCTGTATTAAGCTAGTCATAAACAGTTTGATTTAAGTTATTATTAGTCTGATTATAATGTAGAATCATATTTGGGTTATTGTTTAAAATGTCATGCTCTACCAGAATATGCATATCTGAATGTTTCCTTTCAAATTTTGCGAAATATCTCTAAGTGAACCAAAAAAAAAAACAACCGAATGTCAAGAGCCGATAACGTTTTTACATAACATCTCTATGTATATTGAAATTTCATAAACAATGTTTACTTAGAAAGTTTCTCCCAATCAAACTTTCTAAGTGTATTTAATTTAATTCAGTATTATTCCGTATTTATCCTTCTGCCTCCTCCTCCCTGCGGCTCAGCCATAAAGATGAGGGGTTTGTAATGCTAAAATTATGGTTTTGATACCCATGGTTGGCATAACAGAGGTATCCCACTGTGTACCTTTGTATTAAGAAAACAGTAAAATAATCTATCTGTGCAGCTTTACGTTTTAATCACAAGAAAATAAATGTGTTTTCGTATTTTACTGTAAATTTAACTTTAGGAAAAAAAAATAATTCAAATCGTTCTTGTCCTCCGGTAAGTCAGGGGCAAGTTTACAGACTAATAACGCTAAAATCAGAGGTTCGAATCCATACCGTGGACAGAACCCAGGTATCCGAATGAGTGGCTTTGCGCTAAATGAAACAATATAAAGCTCGTCTCTTTAATTCCATGTTTAATACAATTATCTATTAAACTTTGTTCATAGTTTTTATCAGTTTTGATCGTCTGTTTATAAAAATACTTTTTTTTTTGGAACCAGTTGATGTGGAGATAAGATATCCATGCTGAAACATTTTAACGGTATTTTTGATTTTGTAAATACATTTATATACGTCCTATTTTATAGAAACGTATTTGCTTTGTTTCAGCTCTCTTCTGTTTAAGTCATTGATTGTATTGCTAATTAGTAATTGATACGTAGCATATCTTAAATGTAATTTAATAACGATTGTTGTTTGTTATTAGGCACAAAGCTACACAAGGGGTTATCTGTGCTCTGCCCACCTCGGGTATCCAAACCCGGTTTCTAGCAGTGTAAGTCAGCAGTCATGCCGCTGTGCCGTTGGGGGGTGGGGGCATTTAATACCGAAGGTGAATTTATTTTATATTCCTATACTCAATTCACATTTACTTTTTTATACAAATACAATGATATATAGAATTGTAAATAAGTGTAAATAGTTAATAGGTTTAGAAAACATAGTGTTTCGCTGTTGATAGTTCAGTATCATCAAAGACGTGTTGAACTCAAAACTTTTGATGTAATAATTTGTCCGCACTTACTATAATGTAGATATCCGACAGTAGATGACGCCACCAATGTTGTTGATCGATATCCTCGAAGCCTTATTATTGTTACGTTTCTCCACTAGGTGGCGAATTGATACAAGGGGATAACCGACCAAACCAAGGCTGTATGCTGACAGTAATTCGTCTATTGATGCCTGACTCGGTGTCAATGAGATTATGGTACGAAACGTCCATGCAATCCTTGATCGCAGCTTTGAGCTATAGAAACGAAAGAAGTTTCAACTGAATACAGTAGTTTACTTAAAAAGTATCATAGTAAACTACAAATATAGTTTTGAAAAAAATATTACGAGAAATTTCGCTTCGCAGAGTGTCTAGGCTAGAGTAAACAGTTACAGCGTTTGAGTGAGTTGGCCCAGCAGGGTAAGCCAGACCGGAAATCTAGGACTTGATACGAGTTAGAGACAGAGTATAGTGTGAGTGCAGTCATGGTGAGGGTTATAGTGCAAGTAGAGACTAAGAAGATGATCTCGGGACTGCCACAATTTCTTATAAGTCTAGCGTGTTTTATATCAGCAAGCGGTGAGTTCGTATTTGATTCATTTTGCATAGTTCTTTATATGGAGGCTGTGCAACTCCAAGAATAAATCATAAGGTTCTTATCTACAAGTATATTACGTTTCTTGGGCAACAATATGCAATTACAGTTGATATTGTTGTGTAAGTACTTTTTAATAATAACATTAAGTTTTATATGCTACAATAATTTACGCTGATTTTACATGCATTATTATGTATAAAACACGGCTTACAAATACTCAGGTACTGCTAAAAGAGTGAAAATAAATGTGTGCATGATTTGTTTATCATATTGTAGGTTAGGCATAGATTTTGAAATGGTAATGTCTGTTACGATTTCTTCAAACACATTTATTCATCCATATCACTAAACTATACTAGAAGGGCGTTTATAAAGATACGTGATGGTCATTATCTGTGGATTACTCATTTCACCATGTAAGATTATATAATTCCCGGAAAACACACTTTTCCGGGAAATATATCACAGTCGATATGAACATAATTATCAATTGGAACGAATTATTGACGTTATCTGACGTAGAGGTTATGGGTTAGAATCATTTGTGGGATTAGAATATGGAGATTTGCTAAACCTAAAAGAAGGTTACTAATCCCACAAATGATTCAAACCCATAACCTCTAACAAAGTTATTTATCACAACCTTCTTTTAGGTTTAGCAAATCTCCATATACTAATCCCACAAATGATTCAAACCCATAACCTCTAACAAAGTTATTTATCAAATTTGGAGATTTGGTAAACCTAAAAGAAGGTTGTGATAAATAACTTTGTTTTTGCTACTTCAAATGACTTTTCATGATTTCAGTACAAAACCAGTTTGCTGTTATTTCTAAACAAGTTTACATGGGCTTTCCTTGAACGTATTATTCCGCCAATTCGGTTTGTCTAAAGTACGTAAAATATTTCTACGCCAAACTACATTTTTGGTTTCTTAATATGGGTTTTTAAGAGAAACTTACAGAGATTAAAAACTTTATTTTGCAGATACGAGTAAATACTTACGTTTTCGTCCAAAATACTGACGTTTTACCTTCTGGTAATGAGAAGGAACGTATACTAACAAGAGCATTTACTTTCCGAAACTGGTTTTTTCTTCTCAGTTTTGCTGATATGGTAATCATTCGGTACTTATGAATATTTAAGTCACTGTTAGATGGTTTTATTTTAAACTAAATCTGTCAATTAGTGAGAATATGCTAGACTTAGTTGTGATTGGCTGGATACGAAAGAAATAGCCATCCAATAAAGACCTGCAAGACTTTTGTGAGTTCAAAACTAAGGTTTTGGATAAAGAGGGACATTTTACGCTCGCCACCTATGGTGCTAACACAAAACTATCTACATGCTAAAAACAACAGCTATGGGTATTTAAGCAGAGGGTGTATTAAAAGAGTGAAGTCACACAAGGTTGGACTAACTCTATATGAGCAGTGTTTATTGCGACTCAATTCCTCAACAACTCTTGCTATGCAGTAACGAATAATAATGGGGGTTAGTTTGTGTTGCTAGTGGCTTGTTGCCAAAAGTAACCCAGGTGCAAGGTCTTTGAACTTTTCCTCTGGGTGTAGCCACCGCAGACAAGCAGGTAAATTCAGTAGTTTCTGTTAGCCAGAACTTGCTAACAATAATCACGCACGCAAAACAAAATAATGCTCAACTGGTTTGAACGCACCAGGTCGGTTCGAGATTTAGCTGTCTAAAAACAATAATAAAAAACGACAAAAAATAACCAATAGTGTTGCAAGAAAGATGGATGCTCTATTCTTATAAATTTAGCTAATATAGAAACAGCTGTTGATAATCAAAAACACCACGTTTTCTTTCTATAACGAAACTAAAACCTCGACTACGATAGTTCTTGTATGATTAACGAAACGGATTTAGCGAAAGGAAGACTGGTATTATTCAAGTAGTGTCTCATTCAAAAACGCAGAAAAAATTAATTATATTACACCAATTTTAAGTCAATGTGGTCAACAGAAACGAAATAATGACCACTTACATTTTGTCCGAAAATAATTCTGTTACGTATATAAAAAAAATTGCATACACTAATTTAAAGATGATTATGATATGATTACTTAGCAGATTTGACCACTGTAATTATAAGACAATTTCATGTAGGTTATGATTATTTTCAAATATCTTGACTTTTAACTTTATTATTTCTGAAAACAAATGTAATCTACTTCTAAAAAAAAGTAAAATAAGATGACAGAATTTCTTCATCATTTACTTTAACGCCAAGTCCACAGTTTGAATGTTCGAAACTAGTTTTTAACAGAAAACATCTTAATAATGTGCTTCATGACATTTAAGATATCTAAATAATACAAAGTGAAGGGGAATAAAATACAGAGGTAAAAAATACAAAGATCAGAGGTCAAGAAACTTATGTGAGCATAATAAGGAAAACGATATAGTACTGTGAATATGAAATGAGAGGTGAATTTTGGACTATTCAAAATGTTTTCATGTTTTTGCTTTGTTATATTCTTGTTCATATTCTATAACGCATCAAATTAATTTCTTTTAATCTGGGGGATATCTTTGGGGTCACAAAGGTCACACTGCTTTATTATTGCGCTTGTCTTGGTCATTTTTGTTTCACTGTTTGTTTGTTTTTAATGTGTTTTTTTATTATAAATAACATAAAATAAATCCACCTAATTTCCTGATTACCCTGTTTATGCCAAATATATAACATAATATTGCAATCTATTATTCTTATTATCCCTAGAAATAAAAAGTAAATAATTGATGAATATAAAAATTGATATATATAAAACAACATAATTCATTTTTTTGTTTTTTAAGTATCGAGTAAACATAACTTGATCGAGCCAAGATAAACAGATTATCGAAAATAAGTCTTGTTACTGGGCTTATCAATTAAGAGCCAGGAAATGATGACTGTAGAATAGTGATACAATATATTTGTAGTCACAAATCTGTGGATTTTGGCACACTGCGTTTTCGTCAATAACGTCACGTTTAGCAACTGTACAGCAGCTGATACCCTGAAGGAGACCTTGACTTCATATTGGAAAAGTAGGTTACCTAGTGATACCAAAATTTCATGGACACTTCCCCCTTGGCCTATCGAAGACTTTTTAATTAATTAGTTTAGTGGTTTATAATTAAATATTGTGAACTGATCTAAACTTTAGATAACACGATTGCTGCTAGATACAATATGCACAATTTGTAGCGCCTGAGGCTTAGTAGTGATTTTAAACAAATTTTCCTGGACTTTTGTAATTTTCAATTTTTGTTAACTCACAGTCATGTTTAAAACATCAGAAAGTTTATTTTGTTTGTTTGTTTTCGGATATCCGAGTAAAACTATCCAAGAGCTATCTGAGTATAGCCGTCCCTAATTTTGAACTGACAGACTAGAGGGAAAACAGCGCTCACCGTCAACTGTTGGAGTACACTTGTTTGATCTAACAGTGGGATTTGATTGATACACCTATCTCTCTCTATCTCTATCTATATATATATATATATATATATATACACACACACAACAACAAAACAACAAAGTGCAAGTCGCAATTATTATCATTATTATTATAATTTTGGATCCCAGATTCATAGTCCAGGACATTAAAAACTTGGCCACGCCCAGAACATTTGCGTTTGTACTATGTATACATACTTTACATGCTGATTAAAAAAATCTTCTCGGTTCGAAATTATAAGAGCTTGTGATATTCTCTAATGATCATTAGACGCAACACATTCTATGTTTTGTCGTATTATGTAGGCTGCGACACCGATAAGCATAATCAAAATGGCAACCGTACAGAACAGCATTTATTGTTTGATACTAATAGAGACGTTTAAGTGTGGCTTTCTTTCAATATGAATGAGATTTACCAAAAGTAATGAGTGACTTGTTTAATTTGCTGACCTAGTCTATATTCTTCAAAAGGACAACTCACAATACTAGTTTTGCTGTATTGTTACCGCAGAAAGTATTATGTTTCCATAAGTTGGTCACGTACGATGTAAAGGACATTTCGAGTTAGGTTATTAGACTCAGAATGTTTGCTTACCTCCCCATTGTTTTCCTGAGGTTTCAGTTAGAGATCGTAATTTCTACGTCTTTGTTGTTAAAAAACATTGATCAGTTTAAGTTATAGAATAGCAGTACTCATTCAACTTAACACGTTACGCCAGCTTAATTTGTTCCATTAAAGAATGTATTATCTGAAATAGTTCATAAGTATTATTAAACACAAAGGGTTGGGTAAAAATGAGCGTCAAAGATATGATAGAATTCAGGGCCAATGTATATCGATGAATATACGTATGCTTTAAAAATTACTGTTTTTATTTCAACGATTTTTAAATGTTTCCTAAGAAATAATGAGACTCAAACGTATAATAAACGTGAATAAGATATTAAATTAATAACCGCAACTACCACTTAACCAAAGACTTACAATACGGAAATGACGATATTAAGTGACAGCGGAATTCATTTGTATTTGGTAAATATTCCAAGGACCTGGCGTGGGCTAGTGGTTGGAGCACTCGACTTGCAATCTGTTAGGCGTGGGGTCGAATTCTTGTTTTTGAACATGCTCGTCCTTTCAGCCGTGAAAGCGTTATAACGTAACGATCAATCCCACTATTTGTTGGTATAAGAGTAGCGCTAGGGTTGACTAGCTGCCTTCCCTTTAGCCTTTCTCTGCGAAATTATGAACGTGTACCTGGAGAAGAGATGGACGCCAATAGGCAAAATTTATTTGTGCGTGTACTGCTGGTGATTGCTGCAAGACTGAGCAAACCAGCAGATAACTGTTTATGTTTAGGACATTCGCACAATTCTACACAAGGACTATCTGCGTTAACCTTCTCTAGTTTTGAGCTGATAGCGCATAAGGGAGGCAACTAGTGAATAGCACCTACCGACAACTCTTGGGATGTCTTGATTGAATAGTGGGATTTTAATGTTAATCTTATAACA